TACATTTGTATAAAGTTTCACCCTAAATTTCATCAATGCTTATTTCAGCACGAAGTTACACAACGTCCGTCACAAGGAATCGAGTACTAGGATCTTGTATAAGACTAGAGGGAAGGTCAACACCACTCACCGCCAACTCTTGGGCTACTCTTTTACCAACGAATAGTGGGATTGACCGACACATTATAACGCTCCCACAGCTGAAAGGGCGAGCGTGTTTGGTGGGATGGGGATTCGAACCCGCGACCTGCACATTGCGAGTCGAGCTCCCTAACCACATGGCCATGCAGGGCCCGTACCTCTAACTATACCCAGGCTTTATTGAATTGAACCTATACTTCGAGCTCTATCTTTTTTTTTTCTTAAATGCCTTTTTCATCAACAACTGGCATAAAAAAAGAGCTTTAAGTAATTTTTAACACGTGTATTTTTGTAGTTTGCTAAACATCTGTAAAGGTTCTAGAACTTTCGATTCAATCACTTAATAATCAAAATTAAAGCACCTGTTAACATTTGCTCTTGGGTTTAACACAAATTGTTTTACTACTTTATTTTTACTTGAACAGCACTAATAAACTCCTAACATATCCTCGAGAATATATGAGATTTGAATTCGTTTAATAATTATATAGAATTAACCGCGATCTCAAAGTTTGATTACAACAACTGAGTCTAAAACTGTCAATACAACTTACCCAGGATAAATTATTTTATTTCACGTTTAGTGAAATTTGTGAAATAATATATCTTAAACTCATGCTTCTATGTAGTATATTTACTAACATACTTACTAAGTTGATAGTTTTAAGATGCCAAATAAAAGTACATTTCACTAACAATAAATATAATATATTATGATCCATATTGAAGAAGCTATTATAAAAAAAACAACAATTAAATGCAGATAAGTTTAATTATTAATTCTTAACTGAAAAAATATTCGCGAAGGTTTAGTGTTTTCATACGTCTCTTTAAACTTAAACCAGAAATATATTCCAACTATTTTATACTGATTATTGCTATGTATAATGAAATTTTCTAGTTCGCTAATCTTAAGCAACATCAGAATTTTCACAGCACTAAGTATGGAAAATTCGACTGATGAGATTTTATTTTATCAATGGAATAGTAATTAATTAATTACGAAAGAAGCTTTTGACATCCTGTATTTATCTAATCGTTTAACTTTAAACATGGGTTTCTAGGAATACTTATAATTTATTTCGGACTTCCACTGTTCACTGCTGTCAGTGAAGTGAAAGGACTTCTATTTGAAACGGTTAAACAAACCAACAATTATCCAGTGAAGTAACAGTGACGAGTTTTATTATTAGAATGCAAAGAGCCGTGTTAACTTCCAAAATGTGCATTAGTCTGTTTAAGTTTCAATGGCATTAGTGACGAGAATTATAGCTCTACATGTGATTCATCATGTTCTACTTCAATATCATTTAACACGATTTTAATGTACAAACTACCATGATACTTTCTAAACTAAGTTTGTTACATCTAAGTATTTTCCAGCTTAATTAACTCAGTAATTAGACATTTTTACTGTATAATAATTGATTAAATATTTCTACATATCATTGTACAATCAATAATTAGACATTTCTATTGGTCACGGTGCAATCAATAATTAGATATTTCTACTGGCCACTGTGCAATCAATAATTAGACATTTCTACTGACCACGGTGTAATCAATAATTGGACATTTTTACTGGCCACTGTGCAATCATTACTGACATATTTCTACATATCATCGTACAATCAATAATTAGACATTTCTACTGACCACGGTGTAATCAATAATTGGACATTTTTACTGGCCACTGTGCAATCATTACTGACATATTTCTACATATCATCGTACAATCAATAATTAGACATTTCTACTGGTTACTGTGCAATCAATAATTAGACATTTCTACTGGTCACTGTACAATCAATAATTAGATATCTCTACTGGCCCCTGTGCAATCAATAATTAAACATTTCTAATGGTCACTGTGCAATCAATAATTAAACATTACTACTGGTCACTGTGCAATCAATAATTAGACATTTCTACTGGCCACGGTGTAATCAATAATTGGACATTTTTACTGGCCACTGTGCAATCATTACTGACATATTTCTACATATCATCGTACAATCAATAATTAGACATTTCTACTGGTCACTGTACAATCAATAATTAGATATCTCTACTGGCCACTGTGCAGTCAATAATTAGACATGTCTACTGGCCCCTCAGTGACACACGGTATGTCTGCGGACTTACAACGCTAGAAACCGGGTTTCGATACCCATGGTGGGCAGAACACTAATAGCCCATTGTGTAGCTTTATGCTTAATTGCAAACAAACAAACATTTCTACTGGTCACTGTACAATCCATAATTAGACATTTCTACTGGTCACTGTACAATCAATAATTAGACATTTCTACTGGCCAAGGTGCAATCAATAATTACATATTTCAAGAATGTTTTAGGAAGTTTCTCTGTCTCTCTTTTTTTCTTTACAGTACTATAATCGTGTTCCTGTCACATTGTCTTATCAAAGCACAACCACACTATCGAATTTTGTATTTTGTCTTCCAATTTTCTCCCTTCAGTCACATCTTTATTTTTATTTCTTTTCCGAAACATTTTTCATTTCTCGAACATGATTCTCGTTCCTTATTCACTCGTTTAGATTTTCTTACGCTGAACTTTATTCCACATTTACCATTTCCCTACCACCAAGGGTAGGATATCGTTTTATTTTTTTTTAGTGTTAGGTTTTTTATTTGGGCCGAAAGAAACTGATTAAATTTCAATCTTGAATTCGCCACACGACTCACCTGATAAGAAATTTTGCAAGATCTGTCAAAAGATGGATAAGAAGCTTCAAGTGCCATTGACTTTTTGTGTTTGTGTGAAAATTTAATAGTGAAATAGGATAGTTTATTATTTCAGAGCCTCTCAGAGCCAATGATGAAAACAATGTTTCAAATCCTTTCTAAAGAATAAACAATGCATTTCAATAATCTGAGAAAATTCTTAGTTTAGTCAAAAGTCGTAGAAACTCAGACTTTTAGAACTTCGAAACATCAAAAAATAAGTTCGAGAATATTTATACCTACAAACCTAAAAGACGTCGTGGTGCGTAATATTATTACTTACTATTCTATATTCCTAACTTTTCGATAAAGATGATGTCAGATCGGCTTTGTATTTCCTGAAAGCATATGTCACTCTATAACATAACATCATTTTGAAGCAAAGTGTTCTTACTGTACTATTTCCCTAGTGATTGAACGTTAAACTTGGGGACTTATGACATTACAAAATTAGAGTTTGATCTCTGCTGTGACAAGGTAGCTTTGTGCTTAAACATACAAACACATTCTACAGTATTATGCGACTCGTGCAGTCACCAACCTCTATTTATAACTAACTAAATACAGGTATCAGAAAGAGTTTTTTTTATATTATCGAGTTCTGAAATGACAGATTTTTGGTATAGCTTAGTAAGTAAGAAATAGTTTTAGATTATTAAGCTCAAGTATAATTTAATAAGAAAAGGATCCGCTGCTGTTCACATCATTAACCACAACCAGGATAATTAATAAACACCTAAACTAATTAAACTAAAAAGGAAGGCTTAACTGAATGTTGTTCAGAACGTTTTATGATAGAAATCCCTGCAACTTTACGTTGTTTTCTGCTTATAAAATTCGATAATAAAATAATACAAACATAGATCGTAATTCAATATTTGAGTCTGTTTTAAATGCAAGTTAATATTTTATCACATCTTTTGGATTGAAACCCGAGAACAACAGGCGAGTTCTCTACCAACTGAGCTAAAGGGATAACTCTCTAATACGTGATAGTAATGTACTTTTTTAGCAACTTAAACTAAACATTCTTCCCCCCTCATAAACAAGATCTGTCCCCCGGGTTTATAGTCTCCCCCCAAAGTGGGTCAACGGAAAGTCTATAGGCCTACGCCGCAAAAATCAGGTTTCGATACCAGTGGTTGGCAGAACACAGATAACCCATTGTGCAGCTTTGCACTTAACGATAATCAAACATCGGGCTTTATCTCAGGGTCTTGAAATGGTCCATCTGTGAGCACCAGTATTTCTTGTAGTAATTTCAATATTAGTGTTTCCTTGGCTTCGATTTAACTCCATGACCGTTTGCACTATAATAGAGTGCTCTATTAAACAGAGCTAAAAGTTAACCCACTAGCGCGTGCTAGTAAGGCATATTTTAACAAGTTAAATTATCAAACTACCCCACATACACTAAATTCAAGCTTTCATAAAGTTCCTCTTGAGGTACATCAATAGTTTATAACGTTTTTATCGTGATTACTTGAATGCTAACATCTAAACAATTCGTAAATTTTTATATTTCCTGCAAGGTTATGAAGTATAAATATCTGTAGTATTTTGCATAAATTAGTTATTCTTTGGGTTCAACTTATAAATTTCCCCAACTTTGCACTTATTTCAAGAAATAAAATTTTTCTAATAGAAGATAAAATTATTCATGTCTTTTATGAAAGTGTTATTTTTATTAGATATGGTAGCCGAATATATTGTGACAACAATTTCATAAACAGATGAGCTAGAAAGTAATATGGAATAATTATATCGAATCCCATTACTCTATGTCAAGTGCCGACGAGGCCTTTCGCCCAGTACCAAGACCATCTTAATTTGATTGTATTATGGCAGACATTGAGACGCTATTGATATTAATTATTAGCAAATTACTTAACATAACTGTTACGGTGTGAGCTGGATCAAACTATTAAAGTGTAATTTTTTCATCTATTCACACGCAAGCAATAGGGTAAAAATTACTTTGACACTATATCTATTTATATATCTATTTTAACACCATATATAATTAATTATTATTATTTTCTTGATTTAACCTACTAATTACTCACAAGAGATGACAAACCAGATAAGCTAGGCTGCTTGATGTTTACTTACCACTTCAATTAACTGCGATAGTTTCAGCTTTATTCGAACGTTCAGGGCTTCACTAACGTTCAGCACAGGTCGAACCAACTTATTGTAGGGGGATATAAGATCATCGTAGAGCCTCTTAGCGTCAGGGTTAGCTTCTGTGTCTAAGAAAAATCATCGAAACTTAGAAACATGCGAAATCATATGGCTTAATCTATGTTTCTAATGACGATTTGGACGAAGCCAACATTGTCTAACCCTCTTTAAAATATTGCTGAAAAATACCAATATCTTTTGACAAATTTCTAGAGATCTTCGCATATGCTGAGAGATATATTTCAGGAATGTATTATATATATTAATATTTTATTTTTTTAAAGCATGTATTAATTCTTGTTAGATACAATAAAATATAGCACAAGGGTTGAAAAAATATATCTAACAACTACAAAAAATGTATTTGTTTAAATATAATTCGTAAAAATAGAAATTCAGTTGTTACTATAATATTCTGATTATATTGTCGTAAAAGAACAACAGTAAATGTTAAATGTTTTTAATATATTTTCTAAGACTGAGTACTTCAAATATTTGTATATAATATCAAAGATAAATATATATATTTTTTCTTATACCACTTACACACTACGTTTATTACACTCTCAAAATAGAAGTTTCGAAATACAATATTAGCTACTTTTACAATATTCATCTAAGTTAGGGTATAAAACTTGTATATCATAAAACAGTTGATCATATTGGTAATTGTAGCTGATACAATAATATTGTTATTAACAACCAAATCTGATAGGAGGTCAAGATATGAGATCAAACTGAGAAGTCTTCGATGTTTACCGTCAGCAGACACGAGAGATCGCAAATGTATTTTCTCCCAATTTAAATAAGAAATTATTAATTAATTTTAGAATACCGCTAGTTTATGCTCGCATGAAATCCCTAAGGTTAAGAAAACTGACGATACTTTGCCACATTGCTGAGACACTGAGCGTTGGGTAAAATTGTGATGGGAAAATGCCACTACTTTAGCGACCCTACAGTATAGAACAGGCACTACAAAGAAGAATTATGGTTGCTCAAGAATCAGATGAACTGCTTGCTGATAACTGAAAATCACCCTAAAAAGAATGCAGAAAAAATGCATAATCACAAGATTCATTGGTAATGGATACCCGGAACAAATGACGAAAAATAAAATAAAAAGATTAATAAACCAAGAATAAGCATGAATAAATTACGGATATAAAACCATACTCCCTATTTCAAAGGTATCTCACTAAAAACATACAAAGGCTATGTAAACAAAGGTTAGAACAGTATTCAGAAGCCACTACACGATATGAAAGCAGCTAGTACACACTGAACCACCTTAAGACCGTGGTTTACAGTATACTTTATAAATGTGGATTCAAATACATTGGAGAAATAAAAAATACCAACAACACTAGAATTTAAGAGCATAATAAATATTTAAGGATGTAATACAGATTGATGTGCAGTAGCCCATCATGTCAAAGTAGACCACGTGACATGTTGAAATAATGTTAAGCTAACTGGATATGAACTACAAACGAGAAAAGTAAAGATAACAGAAACCTTATACATTCACCTAATCAATACCGCTATCAGTCAACCTGGGACAGGAGTCAGAAAACCATGAATACTCCTCATTTAGATCAGTAGGGTTAGTTGATTCAAGTTCTACTGGGAGTGAGACCTTTGATGACTGGTAAGTCAAAAAGACCCAGGATCGAATCCAGGTCGCTACCATTTCAGAAATTGTCCTTCTCAGAACATTTCTAAAAACGACAGCAGAAAAGCTACCGAAACATAGGATTTGAGCTAGTCAGTAATTAGGATATAATAATTAAAGAAAATATATTAGTAATTAATTAATAATCAAAATTAGTTGATCGTATATGCTACTAACCATGAGAATGAGTAATGTTTTTTTGTGTTGTTTTTTTTCAGTTTGTAACTACAAATGGATTTTCCAGTATGGTATTTTTTCTTATTCTAACTTCCATACTCAAACACCTTTGTTGCTTCTTTCTAGCATGTAATGTTTCTTTGGACCTCTGTGAAAGATATAAGGGGTGTTGCAAAATAAATTACACTTTTTTCCTCGAAGTAATGACGAACTTGGTAGGACCGCGAATATCATCATTCGTGAGAAAATGCCATTTCAACGTGCTCTTGGGTGTTTGACTATTTGAATTTCATTTTTTGCGAAAACGTTTGAATCATGGTGCTCACTAGAACTTAGGTTCGTGTCGCATGTGCTACCTTCGGGATGGCTCAGAAACTAGTCGCAGACATGCTCCGAAAATTCAAGTCTTTCGATCGACACATCGCAATGTCAGATTTGAAAAATCCGATTAATGCCTCAAAATTTTAAAAATTGTTGAAGTTGAAAGAGTGGTCCGTGAAAAAGTGGTGGAATATGGATTGGGAACTCTACAGATTTAAATCCTGCCGAAAATGTCGGAGCTTTCGTTCAGCAATGCACAGAAGAAATTTTGGAAACTCTGTCTGAATGTGAGAGACACAAACGTGAAACCTCGATTCGTGATCTCACTGATGTGCTCACAGAGACAGCCACAAAAACAGACATGTTTGTTGCATTGCTGAAATATTTTGCAAATCGATTAAAACTCGTGCGTGAAAACAATGGTGGCCCAATCAAGCGATATTGATACTTGGAATTACTTTTTTGATTGAAATTACAATCTTCTTTTATTTTTTATGCTCTCGGGGAACAAAAGTGTGATTTATTTTGCAACACCCTTTAAAAGTATGAGATCGGAAAGTTAGATGTTAGTTGAGTTAGGTAAAGTCTATCTATGTTGTCTTTGTATTTTTGTGTCTTTGGGACTTCACGATTTAATCTTATATTTTGATTTATTCAGCTTACTTTATTCTAAGAACTTCATTGGGTTTCATTTATATATATGTTTATAGACTTCTTCAGCCTTGTTCACTGAAGTGTGAGCCAGTAAATAGTTTTTTTACTTTATACCTAAAATATCTCTTAGATTTCCTTTCTTGATAAGACTAGATTTAGCATTGTCAGTTGAATGGAATATTTCTGAAGAACTTATACGTACATTTCTTTTTACTGGGATAAATTTTGTTAATAATGATTCTCTCATAGTTATTTTCTACCCCTAAGTTCTTCATTGTATGCCGTGTTTTAAACAGCTAATTTTTAATTAATATCATTTGTAATATTTTGAGATATTAAAACATATATTTTTTTAGCTGTCAATTTTTATGTGGGTAATTCTGTAAATATATATGTATGTGTATGTATATATATACATTTATATTCATATATGTTTGGTTATGTGTAACTATGACGACTTACAAAACACTGAATAATTTACTTAGGAATATTATTTTACTCATAATTTCGGGTTATTACTCGAGGTTTACATTTAGCTTTTGTGGCCATAAAATTCTGACAACCTACATATAAAGTAAAATATTCTTACAGTCAAATACTTTACTATATTGCAGCTTCATCGATAAGAGTAAAGTGCTATCAATTCCTAGGTCCTTTTTAACCTAGTTTGCCTTTTCATTTTAAATATTTACCTTAAAAGTTTAAGGAAAAAATCGAATATTGATGCTTTAAAACAATAAAAAAGTTGAGGTTATCTCGATGTACTGCTGAGATTATATCTAAGGTAGCATTATTATAATTATTTGTTTAAGGAAAATAAATAAATAAATACGAAATATAAGCTATTTTTCTTCCCCAGAAAAATTTATTAAATTATGTTTCGGTTTTAGACACGCATAACAATGGAACTTAAAAATATGTTTTATGTTTTTCGACATCAAGTAATGGATCACTTTTGAAAGACGCTTCAGCTAATTCGACATCAAGTAATGGATCACTTTTGAAAGACGCTTCAACTAAGTACTTCAAGTTTTTAGTGATCATCTTTGAAAAAGGCTTTAATTAATGAATTCTTGTTCCTCGGAGATCACCTTTGAAAAATGCTTCATCTAAGGACTTTAATTTCTTCAGGGATCACCTTTGAAAGGTACTTCAACTAAGAATTTCAAATTCTTCAAGGAACACCTTTGAAAGACACTTCATCTAAAAATCTCAGTTTCTTCAAGGAACACCTTTGAAAGACACTTCATCTAAAAATCTCAGTTTCTTCAGGGATTACCTTTGAAAGACGCTTGTTAGAAGATTTTTTTTTTCTTTGCAATAAAACAATTAGTTTTGTGTTCTTGTCTGTTCTTACAGGAGACACGTGTCTTCTGTAATGTAGAAGTTTTTATTTCTACGTAAACATGATGCAGGCCTGGTAATCGACAAAATAATCATCACGTGATAATTTAAGCAAGCAAGTTATTTGAAAGATTGTTAAAACGTTACTCTGTTTACTTATATCATTATCTTAATCTGATTAAGTTACATCAGTTCAGAGTGAGTGGCTTTGACAAGAGTAATATCCTGTAAGCATTTTTAAAAGGTATTTATGGCTCATTAAACAATAACAGCAACATATCTTTGGTTAAGATAAAGTGTTGGCATAAGATGTCATTATCTCTTTCAAGTGTCAAATTTTAAATATATTGACTTTCCCCTAACACTTTATCGATTTCTTTGTTTCTTTCATTTTATGTGTCAAAATGAAAAATATATAAAGTACACTAACGAAAGAGAAACAGTAGAAATCAAACAAATCTAATTATTTCAGAACAAGCATATTAGCAAGATTTATTGCTATGACTTGTAAGTTATTTGATTATATTGTACAAATGATTTATTTCATTCATAGCTATCTGTTTTACCATACTTCATTATATGATTAACAAATTATGATAATTAACAAAATTAGTTGTGTGAAAACTTTAAACTGATTCAATGATACATGAGATATATCTCAAGTTCCTTGGTATAAAATTAATATAATTTCTGTCGTTCTTCAAAGCATAGTGTGAATGAGAAATATGAAATTTATCATTACATTTAAACTTCACTCGTTTCCCAAGTTAAACATGAGAGTGAATACAGTGACAGTAGATAAAGAAGGCCTACTACAATACATCAAAAATTAAACCACACATATATTAGTATTTATGCCTGCAAAGTAGTTCGTGCTATTTATAAAGATTGTCCACTAACTTAATTGTGGTAATAAAAAGCTATAACAGTTGAGATTGAATTGTAATGGATTGTTCGGAGTATAATAAGACTTTGTTTCAACGATTTAAACCAACATATGCCTTGGTTGAGTGTTAAACTTTTAGAACAAGTTTTGCATGTTTCTCTAATGACTTAATTTAATTCATTTTTGAAAGAATTTAAAACTTATAAAAACAGTACCTAAGTGATTATGTAGTGGTTAGTAAATATATATTATATCGTTTTGTACATTAGTACGTTAAAGCAACATTCAGCTTCTTATGAGTCTTTCGACCACTACTCAAAATAAAGTTACAACTAGTTCAAAAGAGAAGAGTTATTATTTTCCTTCAAAGAATGGAATACCCGAAACTCTTGTTCAAAACCCAAGTATACACAGCTTCATGATATCATTTTTTTTCATTTACAAGTTTGTTAGTGATATTATAATTGTATTGTGCACACTAAAACTAGGTTATCTCAAATATAAAGACTCTTCTTATTTGGTGCACGTTTGCCAGGGACAGTTATAGGCAATCTGGTAAGAAATCCAATTAGTGTGAAACAGTTTACCATATGAGTTGAAGCTTCAATCAGTTTGTACATACAAGTACTTCAATTTCTCCGGTGGATCAGTGGTAAATTCCACACTTACAACACTAAAACTCACTCGAGGCTCGATTCCCCATGTTGGACAGAGCACAGATAGCCCATAGTGAAACGTTGTGATAAAAATACAATAACAACAACAGACAATAAGTTTTCTTAGATTTAAGTGTGTTTGACAACAGACTTGTGACAAAACAATTTAATCGAACAGGTGAAGCTAGCTGGCAACCGTCTCTCGAGAAGTTTGTGTAATGATCGCATTGCTGTTCAAACATCTACACAGTTATATTATAACCCCCTATACAAATATGCTACTGAAAAAACATCAATAACATAGTCCAAACAAGTGTAGAAAAACGTCAAAGCAGGTATAAGAGTGAGAAAATGCTATCATTTTATTCAAAGTCGTATCATCGAAAAGGTATGATTTAGAATTAACCGCATTAGTTTTCTATTACGGTTATTTTAATTCATCATTATAATAGTATTTTCGTATGTTATCGTTCTGTGGATACACTTATTTGTCGTTTGTGTTACTTGGAAACATAAATCATACATTTCGACGAACTGATCGAGTGCTCAACTTCATGAAGCTAAACGCGGGAGTCATTGGTAGCTAAACGCGCGAGTCATTGGTTGAAATTTTAACTATAGACAAACGAAAGGTTTTTTCTAGCCCAATGAAGTCTCTTTCTGAGGAAAGTAATTAAATAAATCCCGATTTAGCTCCACACATCACCTGTTTTGTGTTTGTTTTTGCTATTCGCTAGACTTTTATTTCCGCAAAAAATATGAACAACAAATTATCCATCATACACTGTTCTTTTACCCAGCATCTTACAGAGAACAATGAAGCTACTGACATCTTTTATCCTGTTTCTGATAAAGCAAAAAACGAACGTAATAATAGGAAGCATTTATTAAACGTTTCGGAATCATGATGGATTACTAGTATACTTATCCTATTTCTCTACCAAACTTTTCACAGCGGTTCACTGAAACGAACATTGCATTGCTTTTTTTTTCTATTTTAACAAAACAATACGTAGCCAAGGTTATTTTCAAATAACATTCATTAATAAAGTTCAATAATACATATCTTGAAAATCGACAAAAACTCATAACACCCTACTCATTGACATTTTTACAAAACCCTTCAATTGGGCATGGCCCAGTGGTTAGTGTGTTCGGACTGTGAATCCGGAGATTCTTGGTGTGGGTTTTTGTTTGTGTTTTTTTTTTTTGCTGCAAAAACGCGCTGTGAGGTTGTAGATTAATTATAAAAGTGACGGTAAAACCCCACTATTCAGTCAGACAATAGTAGTCTGTGAGTTCTCTTGATTAGCTACTTTCCTTCAAGTCTATCAATTCCAAATTTGAACACATATTCGCGTAAAGCTCTTTATCTAGCCTGGTACGAGAATTCTGAGACAATCAAATAAACTTTCAGGTCGATAGGCCTCAGAGAAGAATAGAATTATTTCAAAATTTTCATACGATGTAGATGTTTGTTAGTATTTATAACAGACACTATATTAGTTCAACAAAGAAAATATCTGATCGTCAGCAAGCTCGAGACTTTTTGCTGTTGTGATTGAAACTGATGTTTAGAGCTCATCCTACAGTAAAGTGAAGGAAATATGATGTACATTACATAACTGATATTTATAGCTCATCCTACAGTAAAGTGAAGGAAATATGATGTACATTATATAACTAATGTTTATAGTTCATCCTACAGTAAAGTGAAGGAAATATGATGTACATTACATAACTAATGTTTAGAGCTCATCCTACAGTAAAGTGAAGGAAATATGATGTACATTACATAACTAATGTTTAGAGCTCATCCTACAGTAAAGTGAAGGAAATATGAGTACATTACATAACTAATGTTTAGAGCTCATCCTACAGTAAAGTGAAGGAAATATGATGCACATTACATAACTGATGTTTATAGTTCATCCTACAGTAAAGTGAAGGAAATATGATGCACATTACATAACTGATGTTTATAGTTCATCCTACAGTAAAGTGAAGGAAATATGATGTACATTACATAACTAATGTTTAGAGCTCATCCTACAGTAAAGTGAAGGAAATATGATGTACATTGCATATTATAGCTTTAATTCAATGTATGGGAGATATATACATTTAAATGTGGCAGCTGTAGTTTCTTAAAATTTTAAAGAGGACGAAAATAAAACGCCAATACAAATCAGTCTGTCAACAAGATAGAACGTGACTTTCTAAAGCTTTTAGTTTTAATTTGAAATACTTTTCTACTGAGCTCTATCGTGTGTAAATATAAGCTATCGAAACCAGTGAAACGTATAGATTTCATCTTCTTTTAGAGCAAAGCCTCGTCGATATAAAAAATCCATGATATTCCATAATATTGATCCATTTAGAACATGAATAAGCACAAAGATTAAAAAGGTGTATTATTTGTGTTTCAAACTAGGTTTTATTTTGCGCTGCTTGAAATGTTCTTTTTTCTGTTTGTTTGGTTGTTTGTAATTAAGCACAAAGCTACACAATGGGTTAGATGTGCCCACCACGGATATCGAAACCCTGTTTCTAGCGTTGTAAGTCCGCAGACCACTGTGCCACTGGGAGGCTGTTTGTTTGCAAACACATCTTATATCTGACGTCATTTTGCTGACTCGGTGGTCCAGATTTCCCATCTGACTTTTTTCCAGTGTTCCATTTTTTTCTAGAGCATATTTATATACCGTATCAAAATGGGGGGGTGGGAAATGTTTTTGATAAACAGAAGGAAGCAGATCATTGATAAATGTGAAATTTCCTGGTTAGACTTCCGTTTTAAACTGACAAAGAAGCGCTAACAATATGGAAGATACAATTCAGAGAAAACCTCCGAAGCTTTAAAATGAAAGAAAAAGAAACAAACAATGAGAAAAATTTTATGTTACCCGTTTACAGAATCTACATTTTATATAAGTATAATTTTAAAATCTTTAACAGTCGTTTTCCTATACGAAGTCAATCAGTGTAGTGGTAAATTATATTACAAATAAGAAGCGTATAAAAAACCATAAATTCAGGCGTATAAAAAAAACATAAACTCAGCCGTATAAAAAAACATAAATCAGGCTTATAAAAAACTCATAAACTCAAGAATATTAAAATACCCATAAACTCAGACTTATAAAAAACCATAAACTCAGGTGTATAAAAAATAAACTCAGTCGTATAAAAAAAATCCGTAAACTCAGGCAATATACTTGCAAAAAGATTCATCAATTTAGAAAATCATAATTGCAACACTATTGTTTTTGTTATGGAAACGAGGAAACTTGATTATCCTAGTACCAAAAACAGAAATTGAAGAAATTAATGAGACTTTTAAATTCCACTACGATACCTACTTTATTACTTTTTCTGTGACTGACCATGGATAGGAAGATAATCTTTGAATCCAAACTAGAAAACATTTATATAGCTTGTCTGACATGACGAATAAAAAAAACTTTCTCCTCAAGTACTATCGCCTGTTAATAACATTGTTTTTACTACAAACGTATATATATATATACTGGATTACACACACACGTGTATTGACTAATAGAAACAACAGGGAGATCGTTAAACAAACGTTCTATAAAGTAAAGTAGAAAATCAATTATAAAACATTGAATTTCTGTAGTCAGTATTTCTAGAGAAGCAAATTAATTATACCGTTTTGCAAAATGAAAGAAATATCTATGAATAAACAACAAATAAAAGTAGCAGAACCGGTAATACACTTCTGGATGATTCTTGGCCATGCCTTAATCTTGCTGTATCTATTTTTTTAATCTTCTTTATAGCTATTAAAATTTTATAATGAATGAAATTTAGAAAAACTAACTTTGGTATATTTACAATGTCACTCAGTGAGTTTTATACAGTATTTGGTATTAAGGGAATTTATCTGAATTTTTCACTTGGCTAAAGATATAAATTTAATTTTTATTTTATAATTCGCCTATTTTGCTAAGTTCCTGTGTCATAATCTGTGTAGCGAAAGAATATTATCTAAAAATAATCTTTAGTGTGACAGTGACCTTTTTTCTGTGTGTGTGTTGTGAACGTATTACATGCAAGGATACATATTTCATTGCGCTGCCTCTCTAAGTAATAAACAATGTATCCTATGTTAATTCACATTGCTTGTGAATTTGTTTGCTGTCCTGGCACAGCTTAGAGATACCAGAACTAAACCTGCAAGGCGGACCCCTATCTCTTATCTATATGGTGTAGCAAAAGATGCTAAAACACGTCCGGAAAGTCACTTAGAAATTATGGGGGGTCTAATAGTATGTTTTTAATGGTCACTGAGCTCGAATCTAGCATTCGATTTGTGTTCATGGCCTCCCGCGGGATCTCAGGGGCGCCTTGTTGGAAACTATATTCATATCCCCACTTATAAGCTAGTGGGAATAAAACACGGATGGGTGTCCTAACAGGGATTTTTCTTAGTACAGTCCCCTCTCCGTTTTTGGGAAGCTATCGAAGTAATTAAGATATTGGTGAAGATTGATCGGTATACTTGGGCCTCTGTGAATCATGAGAGGGCCTTTTATGCTTTCATCCATTAAGTATACCGGTACTTTAGTTACTTATTAGCTCCTTTTGTCTTTCCATAATTATCGTCTAACAAACCATAGGTTTCAAGAAATTGTCTACGTTTTAACATATGCTTCGTACTTGCTTTCTCAGTCAGTCCATCAGCGTAGATAAGGTCAGAACAGTACACTCATATGATGAAGTAAAACAACCTAAGTGATAAGGGCTTTCCAAAGGGATGCAGAGAACGTAAAGAAAGAAATAATTTCGACGGGCGTTATAGTTACTATCGGAAGAACGTGTTAACACAAATTCCTGCGCTGTTTAGCTAGGATGTCTAGCTCTTCTGTTGTTTGATTAAACAGAAAATATATGTCATCAACATATTGGAAGCAAGGATTTCCTTTGTATTCAGAACCTACTGTAGGAAGTAATTCACATTCAAAATACTTCATTAAGACGTTACATACAAGTGGGGATAAAGGACTGTTAATATCGTTTCCATATTCTGTCACAAGAAAAATTATGGAAAGTTTGATATTCAACCCCTCTGAGATCATTTGATATTCATGATCTAGTTGTTGTTCTAGATATTTCATAAAGTTTCGTGTTCATTAATGTTCCCAAGTATTCTAGGGCCAACGTGAACTTAACATGATGCGCCCTCTAGCGAATGCCTAAATCACAACATAAAAATGTAACTTATAACACTGCCCCTTCCTGAATTTTAAAGTTACTTGAACACTCATAACACAAAAATATACCACTACACTAAACTGTCCATTCATAAAGTATTTTTGGTGGTTTTCCCTTCCAAGACCCATGGTATACAGATTAGATAGGGTCTCGTTCCTTATTGTCATTGGCCGTCTTGTCCCTATGGAATTTCTTCCAAGGTAGGTAATTTACTGAATCCACTGTTGACTCTATCTTTGATGATCATCTGGAAGTAGCTTTGACAGGAACTCTGGGCTCCTCATCAATTTGAGTTTCCACTGACAAGTTTGTCTCTGAAGTCATCCAGTTGGTCATTCTCTTATCAAAATAAAAGTACTCCCAAAGACGATCATGGTAGACGACCTTTGGTTTGGACTTCCTCTGAACACCTACTTAAATTTTGGAGTGTGTCCTCTCTGTGAAGAGAACTATTCAGCCATATTATCTCACAGAATCCAGTTTTATGAGCACGTATGGCACAAATATCTTTCGCTTCATTACAAGACAATTTAAGTCTTTCTTGGGTAAAGTCATACATGACATGTTTATTCTTCAC